CATCCCACCAGCTGGTATTCAGAGGAGGGAGGACATGGACACTGGGTTACTAGCCATGGTCACAGCCTTACCCATATCTCTCATTTGAGAGAGGGTTTGGGTGACTTAGCCTTATCCAGACATTGATAGCCTTAACTGGCCTTCTAGGATGCTCCATGCAAAATTAGAACAATTGCATTGTTGAGTCAGAAAGCTTTTTCTTAGCCCTGCTTAGCCTTGCCACCCTCTGAGTCTGGCCTGGCACTTGGACATCTACGGAAAGCACCCAGCTGGCTCTCAAATTTACTCATCAGAATTTTCTGACATTCACCTCTGGATTTGGTAAAAGTTTAAGCATTGACCAAATTTCTTGCTGTAAGACTGGCATGCAACACAAAGTGTGTGTGGTTTCTGCATGTCCCTTGGAAGAGCAACTTCCTCAGCTCTTGACCACAAAGAGCACTGCCAAGGGAGTTGTGGAGAAGCAAGATCCAGTTTGGGACTGACCCTGTGAAGAAGGAATTCAGCAAAGTAAAACCATAATTAACTCCTTAGTCTGCAATGGTGAGGACAGGCCTGGTTCACAAGACCTTGGGTTTAGCAGGGGGTTGGAAAACGGACAGATTTGTGGTTCACCCATCACTTCCCAACCTTGCAACTTACAAAAATGTCTGAATAATTTTCAAGGAAGGGAAGGGAAGTTAAGTGCATACATTTCTGCAAAATGACACTTATAAGCAGAAGCTATGAAAGCAATGTTTAGGGTGTATCCAAGAGCCATAAATAGTACTGGGGTAGGGGAGGAGAGTAATGCACAGGAGTAATGCAAAGATGTATCTCCTAACCACTGAAAGTAATGTGTGGCATATATTCAGAAGCAGCTGTAAATAGCATTAGCCAAAGCAAACGCTGAGCATCTGCATAACAACAGAGATAAACACAGCCAGTGGAGGTGATGAGTGGAAGCGTCATAATGTGTGATATTAACAGATGCAATCCTTTGTAACAGCTGGGGCAACATTTAAAAAAGAAAAGAAGATGGAGGCACCAGAAGCAATGTGACAGGAGGTTTCAGCATCCCTCTGGCAAGGCAGGGGGGGGGCTTGTTTATGGCAGAGAAGGAAAGGCCGCTTTGACAGAGACATAACTTCTCCCAAATAACTTTATGTATCAGATGCAGTGCCGTCCCTTGGCAGGGATTCTTGGTGGCTCAGCTCTCTCCTGGCTCATTTGCCTTTCAAATGGACTTGCCTCTTTCTGGGAGCAGTGCATGAGTAGCATGTGCGAAATCGGTGACTCCAAGAAGCTGAGTTTAGCATGTGCATTACTATTAAACAAATGCATGGAGGAAAGGACTCTTGGTGGCTAGTAGCCAGGGTGGCTCTGCTCTGAACGTAGCTTGCTGGAAACCACAGGAGGGGAGAGGGCTCTTATGCTCGAGTCCTGCTTGCAGATTTCCCACAGAAATCTGTTCAGCCCCTATGAGAAGAGGGTGCTGGACTAAGTGGACCACTGCCCTGACCCAGCAGGATATTTGTGTGTTTGTACTCTAGCCTAGTAACAGCAAGGAAGCCAGAAGAGTGATCCACAGTACAACAACATTTCATAATTTAAAATTAAGGTATCCTTGAACATTAGCTTTGGAAACATAATGCAGAACATTTCTAGCAAAAATCCCTCAAGTCATTGCATTTGTCAAACTGCTTACTTCTTAGAATTGAGAATGTCTTCTCTCTCTTTCTCGGAAGGAAAAGATCTACATCCTATTTTAAGCTGATAAAGCTGCTCATTTCCCATGAGATTGAGCTTGAATCTGTAAAATACCATTTGAATACAGAACTCCTATCAAACGGGAGCAGAATGAGAAAGCCCAGACAAGCCATCTTGGCTGCAAAGGAGTGGGCCCCATAAATGCTGTCCTCCCCAGATGCAATATCCACAGCCTTACTGACCTCAGGGGCCTGTCTCTTAATTTGCAGTCCTGCTGCTTCACTTCTGCCAATAAATTCCTGATGCAGCACACAATTCTAACTTGCTTCCTGGAGAGTTTATGAGCAGCATTCTGCGCCTCTGGTAATTTCAGGGCTATTAACAAATAAAAGGGATGTTCAGAAGAGCCCCACCAGCCATTCAGTCTGAAACTGCACAATCCAGAATATGGGACAATTGATCAATATATTCCAAGATATAGGTGGAACTTGCTTTATTTAGCCAATGCAGCAAACCAAAGAACAGGTAAGAAACAGCTGCCCTCAGAGCTGATAGGATTTCCAGGAGTGCAAACCCCGCCCCTCGTGACTGTGAGGGGGGGGAGAATGATTTCACTCTTCCCCTCCTCTGAAGGAGGAAAAAAGTCCATGGAGGGGAAGGGCTGAATGTCCCTCCTTAGGGCAGCTCCACTCCTAGACCTCTCGAGCTCCAGCACTGCCACCCTTCCACCTTACTTTGCAGTATGGAGGGCATGAGGATGCCAAGGCCTCCAGGGGTAGTTGTACTCAAACTGCCACCATCCCTGGCTATTGCCTGGGGCTGATGAATCCACTTCAGCAAATGATCCCTGTGTGCTTCTGGACAGGCACTTAATTTGCCAATGGACTGCTGCTAACACAATTGGATAATTGGGCATAGTGTTTTGTTTTGTTTTGTTTTATTACTTACTGGATTTTCCTCAGAAATGGCAAATCCAGATTGAATGGGGGGATGGACAGGGTTGGCATTTTGATGTTAATAACATTGTGGAGCATTCAGAGCAATGGCCACAGCTCATGGAGTGCAGCATGGCACCATCTGGAAGTCTTAGCACAGGCTTCCTCAACCTTGGCCCTCCAGATGTTTTTGGCCTACAACTCCCATGATCCCTAGCTAGCAGGACCAGTGGTCAGGGATGATGGGAATTGTAGTCTCAAAACATCTGGAGGGCCAAGGTTGAGGAAGCCTGTTATTGCAGATCAGATTGTTATTATTAATGTTTGGTGTTTTATTATGTTTTCGTATGTGTTGGAAGCCGCCCAGAGTGACTGGAGCTGGAGTCCAGATGCTATTGGTCTCCAACTCCCAACAACCCCAACCAGCATGGCCAGTGGTCATGGAGGATGGGAGGAACATCTGGTGGATACTTGGTCTACCACCTTTTTGTGTTAAAGGTGTCCATTGGCTCTTAACTTCTCCAAGGCAGTTGAAGAATGGCTTCAGGGGGAAGGGGAGAAGGTTGTGTGTGTCATCCATTTGGATGACAGCCCACAACTCCTCTTGCCTGCTAAGCTAGGAGCTGCCGTCATTCATACACATCTCAGTTCTGTAGTGGGGATTTCATTAGTGGAGCCTGTTATCCTAATATATGAGGAGACTGCAAAGCAGTCCCTCAGCACTTGCCGGTAGGGCTGGGCGATAACTGGTTTTCAACATTGTGATAAGGGAGGAACTATGCAGAGGCAAACAGGACAATGCCGTGGCAACTGCTGCAGAGGCCTGTGGTGACTCACGGCAGTGACAGGAGGTGACGGCAGTAGCGGCATCCTGAGAGGCCTTCCGGTGGCGACAGCAGATGGTGGCAATAGTAGTGGCAGCGGCCTGCAAGTCCTCCTGGTGGTAGTGGGAGGCGGTGACAGAAGCTGTGGCAGCCTGCCTCACCGAGGCCTCGCAGGCCGCCTCTGCTTCTGCCAGCATCTCCTGCTGCCACCGCATGGTCTCGCAGGCCGCCACGATGGTCACCGCTATGAAAAGATCTTCCAGGCTGTCACCGCCTTTGCCACTGCCACAAAACCTTGCAGGCTGCCGCTATTGCTGCCACCACAACAAGGCCTCGCAAGCTGCCACTGCTCCCCCCTCCCCCGGTTGTTGATTCTGCCGCCACCAGGCTTCTGCTGCTTGTGGCAGCCTGGCAGTCCCAGATTATTTGTATTCACTATGACTCCTCACCGTACTTTGGATTGTCCTGAATACCACCATTTGGCAGCCAAGCCCTAAACCGAAAGTCTCATTTGGGTGCATTTTGGCTTGCCTGCTGATAAAACTGAGTGTGTGATGATTGATAATATTGTCATGTATCCGTTTTAGACCCCTAAGTAGTAACAGTTGCCTGGACATTGTCCTGTTTGCCTCTGTATAGTCCCATCATTATTTCAGACATTGTGGTAGATTGCAATGTTTAGTAGGCGATATTGTGAGGTTTGCAGTGTCTAGCTGGTGAGTTATATTATGAAACAATTATCACAATGTGAACTTCAAACCAGTTTTGGAAGATATATCCATATATTACCCAATCCTACTTGCCAGGTTTGTGGGCTGCCGCTTTGGGGGAGTTTTGGGAAGGAGACAGGTGTGGCGGAGAGCAAACGACCTCCTTGCTGCCATTGGTTTTGCGTTCCAATGAGTTTCACAGGATCACCTTGATCTGGCAAAGGATATTAACAGCAGCTTTCAAGCACTCTTCTTCCCCTCATGGTCATGCAGCTAAACCTTAATTGCACTGGCAGATTCCCTGCCTCCCTCCTTAGTTCCATAGCCTAAAAGATGCTGGTGCTTCACAAATGAGGTTTGGGATTGGATGGTTTGATCCTTGCCACTGAACCTCAGGAGGACATTGGTCAAGTTTCTACCTGCTTCTGATGTAGTTTGGAGTAAGGGGAAGTCAAGCCCACCTAAGGCTTACTGATCTCAGGCCCCAAACCCCACTTCCCCCAAAATGTGCTAAGATCTTTTTCCACACCACAAATGGCTATTAGAGATATTGCCCCCAAATACTTCCAAGAACATGCCTAAGAATCAATTGCAGGGGGCAAGCACATTGTCCAGGCCTACAGCATGCAGAGGTGTCTTTGTGTAGCCTGTTTGCATGTGCCATCAAGCTCAGTGGATAGCTAGCTCCTCTGCTAGCAGTCTGCAGGGAGTTGTGAGTTTTTAAAACATTGCCTCCCCATCAACTCTCTCAGGTTTTTCGTAGATATCAACAGTATCATGTCACCTGGTGAGTTCATGTCCATTCTGTTTCTAACACCTCCTCTTGTTTCTCTTGCCTGCAGGTGAAAGATAGGATGGTGGTGGGCGAGTTGAGCATGTATAGCCCAATCCTGGCCTGCTGGCAGCCCATTCTCATCTTGATGTTGGGATCCATCCTCTCAGGCTCTGCCACAGGTTGCCCACCCCGCTGTGACTGTTCTGCCCAGGAGCGCTCGGTGCTGTGCCACCGGAAGCGGTTCCTGGCTGTCCCTGAGGGCATCCCCACGGAGACAAAGCTCTTGGACCTGGGAAAGAACCGCATCAAGACTCTCAACCAGGATGAATTTGCCAATTTTCCTCACTTGGAGGAGCTGGAGTTAAACGAGAACATTATCAGTGCCATTGAGCCAGGGGCTTTCAATAACCTTTTCAACCTCAGGACTCTGGGTCTCAGGAGCAACAGGCTCAAACTCATCCCACTCGGGGTGTTCACTGGACTCAGCAATCTCACCAAGTTGGACATTAGTGAGAACAAAATTGTGATCCTCCTGGATTATATGTTCCAGGACTTGTACAATCTGAAGTCTTTGGAGGTTGGGGACAATGACCTGGTCTACATCTCCCACCGGGCCTTCAGCGGCCTCAACAGCTTAGAGCAGCTGACTTTGGAAAAATGCAACCTGACGTCCATCCCCACAGAAGCTCTCTCTCACTTGCACGGTTTGATTGTGCTGCGGTTGCGCCACCTGAACATCAACGCCATCAGGGATTACTCATTTAAGAGGCTCTACAGACTCAAGGTTCTGGAGATTTCACACTGGCCCTACTTAGATACCATGACATCCAACTGCCTCTACGGACTTAACTTGACATCCTTGTCCATCACCCACTGCAACCTGACTTCCATCCCTTACGTCTCCTTGAGGCACTTGGTTTATCTCAGGTTCCTGAACCTGTCCTACAACCCCATCATCACCATCGAAGGCTCCATGCTTCACGATCTACTCAGGCTTCAGGAGATACAGCTGGTTGGTGGCCAGCTCACCATGGTGGAACCGTACGCTTTCCGGGGCCTGAACTACTTGCGCATTTTGAATGTTTCAGGGAACCTCCTGAGCACCTTGGAAGAGTCAGCCTTCCACTCTGTGGGGAATCTGGAGACTCTCATCATAGACAACAACCCTCTGGCTTGTGACTGCCGGCTTCTCTGGATTTTCCGCCGCCGTTGGAGGCTCAATTTCAACAAGCGTCAACCCACCTGCGCAACCCCTGAATTTGTCCAAGGCAAAGAGTTCAAGGACTTCTCTGAGGCACTCCTGCCCAACTACTTCATCTGCCGCCGGTCCCGGATAAGGGACCGCAAGCCCCAGCAGATCTTTGTGGATGAGGGCCACACGGTCCAGTTCATCTGCCGTGCGGATGGAGACCCACCTCCGACCATCATGTGGCTCTCGCCAAGGAAGCACCTTATCTCTACCAAAACCAATGGGCGGCTCACCGTCTTCCCTGATGGCACTCTTGAGGTGCGCTATGCCCAGATCCAAGACAACGGCACCTACCTATGCATCGCCAGCAATGCTGGCGGCAATGACACCATGCTGGCCCACCTGCACGTCCGCAGCTACTCCCCCGACTGGCCCCACCAGCCCAACAAGACCTTTGCTTTCATCTCCAACCAGCCCAACGAGAGCGACGCCAACAGCACGCGAGCCACGGTGCCTTTCCCCTTTGACATCAAGACCCTCATCATTGCCACCACGATGGGCTTCATCTCCTTCCTGGGGGTCGTCCTCTTCTGCCTGGTGCTCCTCTTCCTTTGGAGCCGGGGCAAAGGCAACACCAAGCACAACATCGAAATAGAGTATGTCCCGCGCAAATCCGATGCCGGCATCAGCTCTGCCGCGGATGCGCCACGCAAGTTCAACATGAAAATGATCTGAGGAAGGGAGAGGGAGAGAGAGCAATGGCTGGAACTCAGTAATGAGAGGCGTGTGTGGGGTTTTTTTTTTAATAAAAAAGATTTAATAATAAAGAGATCCAGTTCAAGAAACATGCAAACCTCTCAGCTCTCCACCCAGCTCCCCACCCTCCTTCTGTGGCCCACAATCCTGCATCGCTTCCCCCTTGACCTCTTGGGGGGGGGCGTGTTCTGCTGATGTCTCCAGAACTTTCCATGTTTGTAGGACCTATTCTGACAGACTCCAGTGTCGATCCTAACAATGACAGGAAATTCAACAAGAATTCAAAACAACAATTGATTTAAAAAAGAAAGTTACGAACTTCCTCTGTAACTTTGATTTCAATAATTATGGATTTTTATGAAAACTTGAAATAATAATAAAAAAACTATTTCCTATAGATAGTTGGAATGCAAAATCTTGACTTCTTGATCTGTCCACTTTCGTTTCTGGCTCTTGCTTGCTTTATTTTTATTTTTAATGCTTCTCTAGGATTGGCTCTGATTGACCTTGAGTTGCAAGCAGATGCAAAAAGGCGGCACTGCTCCTGCACCTTGAATAGCAAAGGGCATCGCTTCCGGTGCTGCTCTTATACCTTTCTGTCTATGCCCTATGCAAGGTGAGGTGGTCGATCGAAGTGATAACATTTCAGGCAGTGCTACCTCTGACTGCAGGTGGGGACATCCCATTTTTAAATGCTCGCCCAAGTTTGTTGGGTTGTTGTTTTTTAATCCCTGCTCAGGGTTTGATAATCTGTGGCCCTCCAGCTATTCTTGGAGTCTAGCTGCCATCAGTCCCAGTCAGCATGTCCAATGGTGAGGGATGATGGGAGTCTGAGTTCAAGAACACATGGAGGGTCACAGATTCCTCTCCCCATGCTAGATGAGCACACAAGGAAAAGAGACCCATTGAGCATTAGTCCCTGATATGCTTGTCTCTTGTATACCTCTGAGGTGTTGAGAGCATTCAGATCTATGAGACACCCCATTGGCAGCTTGCCTAGAGCTCTGCTGCTTTACTCTGCGTCTTATGCAGAATAGTTCCTTCTCCATTCTTGAAGAAACCCTCCCAGAATAGAATTGCTCATAAGTCTTCCCAGAAGCCAGTGGCTCAGAATAAACTCTTTGGCTTAGCCAAGGCCTGGGGAGCAAGGTCCGTTTGTCCCGCCCCCCCCCCCCCATAAAATATTTGAGGTGGCTGGGCTCCCCCAAAATTGATGTACATTGCCATTCAAATGGTGTGTGTGTGTGTCACGTCCTGTGATCAATTATGTGGGGCGGGGCTTACCTCCCCCCCCCCAATATTTTATTCCAGTTGGCACCCCGGGCACACAGAAGTTCCCAGGTTCAGTCCCCCAGCATTTCTGGTTGTTAATAATATAAATTACCGGTAATTAATTAATTACATTTGCATACTGCCCTGTACCCGCAGGTCTCAGGTAGGATCAGGTAGCAGTAAAAGAAGCAACCTCTCTCTTCCTGCCCCCTAGGAAACTGCTGCCAGTCAGAGTAGACAGTCATGGCTAGAAGGAGCCCCCAATTTGACCTTGTATTAGGCCAGGCACAGGCAAACTCGGCCCTCCAGATGTTTTGGGACTACAACTACCATTATCCCTAGCTAACAGGACCAGGGGTCAGGGATGATGGGAGTTGTAGTCTCGAAACATCTGAAGGGCCAAGTTTGCCTATGCCTGTTAGGCAGCTTCTTAAGCTCCCTTCAGATAAGCATAGTAAGTGGCTTTATATCGACTCAGACCGTCTAACCCAACAGTCTGTACTGACTGGCAGTGACCCTCCCAGATTTCAGACAAGGGGCATTCCTTTCTCTGCCTGGAGACACTGGGGATTGAACCCGGGACCTTCTGCATGCAAAGCAGATGCTCAGCCACTGAGCTAAGGCTGCTGTAGGTTACCTTGCAATCCTGGGTATGGCTGTTCAGAAGTCAGCCTTACCAAGTTAAATGGACATACAGCTAAGCGTGCTTAAGACTGCAGCTTTACAGATGAAGCCTTTTGAATATGTATGTTCATATGGAGGAACAATTGTGTGGGTGAATATGAGCGGGGGGGCATGTGCATGGATGTGAGTGCATAGATGGTCCTTCTCACGTGTGCATTGCTCCCCCCCCCCTTCCTCTGCTGGCATGTGACAGCCCCAATCCCAAAGCTGGCCAAAAGGAATGTGGCCTTTGGTCAGAAAAAAGTTTCCCTATCCCTGCTATATATGTCTACTCAAATGCAAGCCACTATGGATTTCAGTGGACTTACTTCCAGGTAAGTGAGTACAGGATTACAGTATCATTACATTGCATCTCGGATGCTCAAGAAAGAGAGCAATGCCACTCTGCTGCTGCAGGGGCAGGTGCAAAAGTCTCTCTCACACACAGGTCATCCTTAATGTTGAATCTGAAGCTGCTGCGGCTTGTGATAAATGGAACTCCTGCATTCTCAGCTGTACATCCAGCCGCCTCTCTTTATCAGCTCGTCTCTGTTTGTCAATGCCAGGTAGGCCTGTTCACTGAGTTAATTGAACCAGGTGCCCTTTTCCTATGGAGAGCAGAGTTCTTTTTCAAGAAAATAAAAACACCAAGGGCCTTTCTGTCCATTCTCCTCCATTAGAGCATTGCCTGCTTGGCATCTATTTACATTTCAGATCTGCAGTATCTGGATGCCAGTGAGCACCCTGCTAGCTATGAATGACTAAGCCAGCTCCAAGAGGATGCTAAGGGATACAAGGCTGTTACTCTTGCTCTGTCCCCATTGATAAAAGCAGCAGCAGAGTTGGAAGTGAAACAGTAGCTCATGTTGTTGTTGTTTTGTTTGTTTGTTTTAGAGAGAGAGAGAGAGAGAGAGAGAGAGAGAGAGAGAGAGAAGCAAAAGAAACCTAGAGAATTCACTGAGACCTCTGTCAAGGATGTCCTTGGCATCATGGCTGAGATCTATCTTGTCTTTGCACTGGTGGAGAAGGCAGGATTTATATACTGTATTTTTGCAGGAAGCCCAGTGATGGCTTTATACCCCTATTCCCTGGGCTATTAGTTAGTATTAAATAGCAGAAGCTGAAGGTAGCCATACATCAGGAAGTGCGCTGAGGTACATGAAGTGAGTGTGGCCCTCCAGGCTCTCCCCAAGCTTCTTCCCTGGCGGGAATGTGTCCTTGAACTGCGACAATGGCTCTCACTTGTCAGGTGTAGAAACCGCAGCCTCTGGATTATAGCCTGTACAAAGGTAAGAGTCGCATCTTCCAGTGGCTCTGCCCACCGTTGCCTTGGCTGCATGTGGACCCTGGAAAGTTGTCCATGAGCAAATGCAGACTTCAGGCTGAAACTAACATTCCCCGCATGTGGCCTCCAACATCCTATGCCAGTCCATCCTCCCGAGCACATTCCCATCTTGCAACGGAAGTCGGCATGGAGCTTTGCAGTTCCAGATTCAGAGCCACCTCCAATGCCTGTCTGTTGGGATAACTTTCTCTTTTGTTATTCATTGTTGGTTTATATGTTACAGAACATAAGGAAAAAATACAATCCTTCAGGCAGCATGAAGTTAAACTGCGGAACTCCCTCCCACGGGAGGCAGGGATGGCCACCAACTTGGATGGCTTCAAAAGAGGATTAGACAGATTCATGGCGGAGCAGAGGGCTATGGGTGCCTTCTAGTCATGGTGGCTCTGCTCTGCCTCCCCAGCAATGCTTTGCTGAAGACCACAGGAGGAGAGAGAGCTCTTGGGCTCAAATCCTGCTTGCTGGTTTCACACAGGCATGTGTTGGCCATGGTGAGAACAGGAGGCTGGACGAGATGGGCCCCTGGCCTGATCCAGCAGGCTCTTATTACGATATAGTTCATGTATCTGGCTGCAACACAGGGGTAAATCAAATGGCAGGGGATCAAGTGATGGGTGTGACTATCTAAGCCAGCCCTAGCATTCCAAATGATCAATTCCAACAGGTGCCACCTGCAAATCCAGCTCCATTTCAGGCCCATTTCTGGGTTTGGAGCTGGAAAAAGTCAGGGCCGTGTGGGGAGGAGTTATGCCTGTGTTGACCTTATAGAAACAACAGATGTCCAGAGTGGCTGCAGTTCTTTGAGGGGGCAGCTGAGTGGCATCTGCTTGCTACTGCCTGCCCTCAGAGTCTGGTTGCTCCCAAAATAGACCTCTGCCTTTTGTCTGTCTTGGCCTCCGGCAGGGATTCATTTGCCATGGCCATCCGCCTACACCTTCCACAGGGAGTTCCTTCCTGGCAAAACCTTCCTCTGGTTCCCCTTCAACTGTCTCATAATAACTCCCACCGGCTTGCTTCATCCTTGGCAGCTGAGAGCTAGACTCCGCTAGCCCCCCGCAGGCCTTTCCTCGGGACTTCAGCTGTCAATGCCATGGGAGGGCTGGAAATCTGGTGACAGCAGAGCAGGCTTGTAAGAAAAGAAAGAGGCTCACTTGGGTGCAGAAGGGGCAAGGTGTTCACCATCTGCTGAACTCTGCAGTAACCAGAGTCCCAAGGGCAGCAGGTCTAGAGACCAAGGTGCATCTCACCTACATTAACAGGGTTGGTGCCACCATCTGTGGAAATGTTGCACAAATTCTATAATAGACCCACACCCTGCTGCCTCTTTACCTCTTGGTGCTCCCCCTAGTTAATCCCACCTCCTGCCCTCCAGAGGGCAACCACACCCGCTTTGGGAACCATTGACAATTTAGAGCAGGGGCTTGTAGCCCTCAGGTGTTGGAACGCAACATCCCTCAGTTCCAGCCATCAAATGATATATACGTATAAAATGGCATTTGATGTTCTTGACTCCCAGCTGTGCAGTGCCTCCTTTTTCTACTGTTTAGTTTCCTGCATTTGCTTTAAACCTGTGGCCCTTGAGATGTTGTTGGACTCCAACTCCCATCAGCCAGCAGGGCCAAAGGAGGGAGCAACCTCCAGAGAGCCACAGGTTCCTCACTCACTCCAGCTTTAGTCTGCATAGTCCACCTACCCTGTCACCTTAAAATAAAGCAAAACCTCAAAGTTGAGGTTTTGGTGCTAAGGAGATGTCTTTTATATGTGCATCCGTACACATGTCAGCCCATTGGTGCGACCTGCACATTGTAGCCTACTCTGACTGCCAGAGGCTCTCTAAGGACTCAGAGAGGAATCTGATTGCCTTTGCCTGCAAAGCAGGTGCTCCACCCTTTTGATCATGTGAGCACAATTGTTTTCTAGAAGAATTTACTAGGAAAGCTCTACTCCACTCAGCATACACAGTCCCTGAGTGAGTGTATCCTTTGTCTGAAATGCAGGCCCATAGGTGCTCAACCCTACCATCAGGTTCCATATTGCAGGTTGTGACTGTAAACCCTCCAAATGTTGTCAATCAAGCGACATCTGGTGGGCCAAAGGTTCCTCATCCATGATCTACATAGAGATCAATAGTGACC